CCCCAAAACCCCAAAACCCCAAAACCCCAAAACCCCAATTAAGAAGTCAGAATTAGTTAAAATAAATTTAAAATGTATGAAGAAATAGAGTCGGATTATTATATGTCAAAGAAGTATAGAAATAACCCACAGAAAGCGTACCAGAAGAAGTTACTGCAGGATATAAAGATTCAGTTCCAGAAAGCTCTGGCGAAGCTGAATGACCCGAATACTAAGGAGATAGGGTTTAGAGAGCTTCAAAATATTGTGCTTGAATACCAATCTGAGGAATGATTAAGGTTGTACCTGAGTCTGCTTTGAGATAGAATTATAAAGACTGAACGGACTGAAGTAATCCTCATGTTTGGATTCTTAGCCCAGGTATATAAATTGGCACTCCTAGATCCATTGGATAAGCCTCCGAACGTCATCAAAACAGTTGTGAGAATTTGAGATGAGATTTATTCATACCTCAAAACAAACGTAAATGTTGTTGAAGAGGCTTGAAGTTCATCTCTCTTAGAGATCTTTACTCATTGAGTTCCTGACAAGGATGATAAGTTCCTTGTATCAGCTATTTTCTATAAACCCCTTGCGGGTTATATAGCCGCTGGGGGAGATAAGGTAGCTCAGGAGAAGGCTGCCTTCATTCTGTACAAGTTCATCACTCACCTGATCGAAGAAGACTACTATGATCTTGCCAACTTCTTTGCTCCAAAAATAATAGCATTATATGTAAAGTCTTCCTGCATCTCTGCTGAGTTCACCAAGACTTGTGTCTTGGTGCTCAAACATGTAGGAGTGAAGTACTTTGTTACTTTTATCAATGAAATTCTTTTCAAACAAGTAAGTCCATGTGGCTCCGCAGCTAGAATAAACTCTAGATTGAAATTCTCACCTTAGGCAAATCTTCGAAGGAACAAAGAATTTCAAGGGTAGACACACAGTACCACAAGGAGAAAGTAGCCTCTTGAGAGTTCCTAGCTGAGCTTGGTAAAAATTATAGATAATTCTTTAGCAATTTCTTTACAAACTGTTCCAGATCTGCTCATTGGATTTGAAGAGAACGTCATGGAAGTTCTTGAAGATACAATGTCCGATAGAGTCGTCAAGGTCCAACAAGCAGCTCGATTTGCCAAGAAAAGATGGGACGATTTCAACAAAATCTTTGATGTGATAGAAGAGAAGAAATGGGTTGTTGACACTGAAATGACTGGACTTTATCCTGAGGAAATCTTACAGATTAGAACTGGATTGGAAGATACTGCGAATGAAAGAATAACTTACTTTCTTCAAAATAAGGTAAAAGATCTTTACTCAAAAGGCCCTAAACAATCTGATCCAAGTCCAATTGGCAAATAAGGGAAGATCTATGTCTATGGGAAGCGATTCCAACATTCTAGATTCTAATCACAACAAAAATAATTATGCTTATCCCCATAAAGCTGTTAGAACTGGGGAAAACTTTGCAAAGTTTGAATTAGATGATTCAATGTGGCAAAATAAGGTAAAATCCAGCAAATTCCTGAAATCAAGGCAAGGCTTCGGAGGAGGCAACATCCCTGGCAAACGAATTGGGAAGAAAATAAGAACGTACTACTAAGCCTTCTTTTCAGTACATATTCATAATCCTTTCAAAGGAATTATACTATTATGGGGTTTTGGGGTTTTGGGGTTTTGGGGTTTTGGGG